TATATATATATATCGATATACAGACAAAATGCTCGAAAGTTGAACAGAAAATCGACTGCAAATTGAATTGAACTTCAATTGAATTGAGCATTTCGTACTTTTTGACAATTGCATTAACTAATTGAAGATGTGATTGAAATTATTGAAGATTGATTGTACATCGATGTTGCAATTCAATTGAATACTGCATTTTCAAAATGAATTCAAATCGTTTTTTAATTCAATGAATATTGCATGAATATTGAAATTGTTTATAATCAATTTAATTTCAATTTTATTCCACGAATATTGAAATTTTATATAATCATAAAATTTAATTTCAATTGAACAGATTGAAGATTGCATCAGTTTAAGCCTTCAATATTTGAGTTTCAATTAAAATATTGAACCGATTTGATTTTCAATTCAACAGATTGAATGAGCCTAATATAATGCTTCATTACTTGAGTTTCAATTTCAATGTGCATGAATATTAAACAAAAATTTTAATTTAAATTGAACATACTACATAGACGTTGCAAATTGAATGTAAATTGAAATTAAACGTAAATTTACTTGAAAATTGTTTTGAAATTGCAACAAAAATATAAATTTGTATATTAAATTACTATTTTAATTCAACAGATTGAATGAGTTCAAGCATTCGAAATTTTTGAATTCGAATTGAACATTTTCTCTTTTTACATTTACATTAAAGATTACATTTTAAGTGTCAGAGATTGATTATGAATTAAAATTGATATTGAATATTGTGTATTTGAATTGACTGAAACTCGTTTTAGCATTCAATTAAAATTGCATAAATATTGCCATTTTGAGACTCAGTTTCAGCTTCAATTTGACATTAGCATTAGCGTAGGCTTAAGCATCATAGCATTTTGTCACTCTAGCTAACATTTGTAAGCTTCAGCCGTGTTCAATCATGGGAATTGAATGAAAAATTCAAATGAATTAAATGCGAATCTCGCATTCGCTAATTATAATTGATGGCCATCAAATGAGCTGCGCTTTGTCAGGCTTAAAGCGGATTCTCATTTGACTTTTGCAGCTATCCAGATCCGAGCATCGGCTCGCATTGAGACTTACCGTAAAATGCACGCAAGGTAAAAACGTTTGGCTGCAATGAGACGAAGCAACAGGTGGAAATGGTTAATCACACTATAAAGAACAGGCGAGATATAGATATACATATGTATATGTATATATATGTATGTATGGGTACATTAGTTTATTCATAGCGTATCAATAATTTACAGCTTATGGCCATCCATTATATGGAGTCGAGGAGCCATTGCCCCCAGCACCCCCCCCCCCCCCCCCTCCCTTTCAGCAGCTCCTTCACCCTTCAGGCATTTTCGATTATTTACTGTGTGTAAAAGACGATTGATGATTATTGATTAAGCGAGCACCCCCTCCTCTTTGCTACAGCCCCCTCTAACAGCAACCCCAACCACAGACCCCATCCGCCTATCGCCCCTTGCCACCCTCCATGACAGTCTATTAGCTTAAATTGGCGAACGGCGCATGAATCATCGCCAAAAAACAGAAGACAGCCGAAAACGACGGCCGGCAAAGCACGACTAGCAGCTACCCTAACTCATGACGAGCTGCCGCTCTCTGAGTCTGAGTCTCAGTCTCTTTCTCTGCTCCTTTGACTCTGTCTCAATAGAGTTTAATAAGACTGTCGCTTGTTACATACTCAAACAACATATGGGGCATACCCCTTTCCAGTCAATTACGCGTGGTATACATAAGAAAACAACATAAAAATGTGCCGAAGACAAGACGTGAAAAATATACAAAATAATACAGAGAGCGAAAAAAAAAGCCAAAAAGACGCTAAAAACAAACGCGCGTAGGTAGCGCCAATTTTTTAGGCAAACACTAGCAGCTGGCAGGGTGAGGCCTGGCGGGGGAGTAAGAGAGCACGACACTGGTTGTGTGTGAGAGAGAGAGAGAGAGAGGTAGAGTGGAAGTGGGTTGTGTCCATTAATTTAGCTTAAATCTTGAAAGCAAACGACGACGACAAAGACCAAAAACGAAAGACGTTTTGTTTATTTGGCTTTTCGTGCACGCATCAATATATATGTACGTATATCTGTATGTGTGTGCGTGTGTGTATGTGTGAGTGCTCAGTGTTTCAGTGTATTTCGGCGTTTCAATGGCCCCCTCGACCGGCCGATCAATTTGCAACATTTGTTGAGGATTAAGACCTCTCTCGCATTGCAACGCTGTCTGCGATCTTTTAATGACATTCATTTGTTTGAAATGCCAAAAGGCGTTAAGAGTTAAGCGTTAAGCGTTAAGTAGGCAGCAGCATAAGGAAACAACAACAAAAACAGCAAAAAAAATACCAAATGATACATCAAACAAAATACAGTAATTACCATTGGTTTGCTTATTTTGTGCGAGTTTTCGCATATTTTGAGAAATGGCCAAAAGAAAATCAAAAATTCAAAGCAAAAACAAAAATACCCAATTAGCTATAATTAAGAGAGTTGCTAAAAGGTGAGTAGCACAACAGCTAAAAAGGAAGTTCAAGAGCGTGAGTGAGCGAGGCTGAGGGTGGGCGGGGCAGAGCTGGGGCATTCAGTTGAAGTTTGATTGAAATTAAAATTGAAAAAAGAATTAACCACACAAATTTAGAAATTGAAATTGAATTGAAGTTGAATTGAAATGGAAGTTGAATAGAGGTTACAATGGAAATTCGAATTCAAATTGAAATGAAAAATAGTTAACATATTGAAATTAAATATAAATGGAAATCGAGTGGAAATTGAAAATAGTTGAAAAGTTACAATAGAAATTCAAATTTAAATTGAAAAGGAAAATAGTTAATATTGTATATCAAAATTAAATTGAAGCGGAAATTGAGTGGAAATAGTATTCAATTCAAAAATAAATGAAAGTCGAATTTGGAAACAAATTGAAAACGAAATTGATATTGAAGCTCAAATTGAAATTGCACTTGAAATGGAATTTAATATAGAAGTTGAAATTCAAATTGAAAAGCAACCAAAATATTGAAATGGTAACTATTAACTTGAAATCTAATTGAATTCAATATGATTGAAACTCAGTTAACGTTAAAAATGGCCAAGAAGCATAAGATCAAGGTAAGTCGAGTAACTATTGAAATTGAAACGAAATGCAGATTGCGAAGTTTGGATAAGATTGAATTGAATTGAATGTGATTGCGACTCGACTTGAGTGAGATTCTAAAAACGAACAAGCAAAATTCAAATTAAGAAAATTCAATTAAAAGAATTAAAAATACAAAAAATGCAATGAAAATGAAAAATTACAAAAAATAAAAAAATTAGACAAAAAAAAAATAACCAAACAAAACGCGAAGAGACGATTGTTTAAAAAAAAAAAGCTTGAATTGAATTAAGCCTTAATGAAATGCAAAGTAAAAAAAAGGTCATCATCATCAAATGAAGCTCATGGATATAAAATATAAAAATAAAAACTAAATTAAAAATAAAAAATGTTGTACATTGAAACGTGCTGCTAATAAGAGAGAGATAGAGGGAGAGGCAGGGAGATAGAGAGAGAGAGGCACATGAATTTGTGTCTAGAATGAATGTGACTGTGTTTTACGACTCTCATTAGCAGTCATAAGATTTATAATACTGGCATCACAAGTGCTGTCTGTCCCTCTCCCTCTCTCTCTCTTTCTCGCTCTCTCTCTCTCTCTCTCTGTCTGTCTGTTTGTACGTTTCTTTTGTCTGCTCATTTGTTTATTTGTTTGCTAACCCATTGACATTAGATAGTAAATTGTAATTTGTACATTCAGAAACAGCCTTGGCACGTTACATGAACAAACATGCTGATCTATGCGATCGATGACAGGGCCCAATCGATATTTGCCAAGTGATAGGGCAATAGCGCCAGTCCAACGCATTCAATGCGATTAATCAATGGGAGACCTGAAAGCTGGCAACACTCTTGTCACTAGATATCAGCTAGCCGATCGGCGTGATCAAATTAATGATCAGTCGAGCTATGTTAATTGAGTAGCAGAGCCTAGAACACACACAGATTTGTAATTCATATTTATATTCAAAGACAGTTCTGCTGAGATCGGCTATCAGTCTTCAACTAGTATGGGAGCCTCGTATGAAGTCCCTTGCTGCCTCTCTGATCTGCATTAGCTTGAACTGTTTTTGCTTTTGTTTCTTGTTCGTCACGATCAACAAACCAGAGATAATTCTCTATGCTTTGCCCTTGCCTATCCAGAATTCCTTGATTAGTGATCAATTATGCTTGCAAATTTGGTCTGATTTGAATTTTCATTTTCTTTATCTCTCCTTCATCTTCCGCTCTTTGCGTCTCTTACTGAACCATGTTGTATATGAGCTAATTAGTAGATCATTAATTTTATACGATTATTACATTTTAGTGATATCTATATGTCTTCATCTGTCTGCCTATTGCTCTATCACTCATTCTCCCGCTCGCTGTCTTTCTCTTTTTTTATGTTGCCACTCTGCAAATGTGATCCATTGTGCTTATGAGCTTATTAGCTGATCATTAGCTTAATGTTAGTATTATATATTAGTATATATTATGTATATATATTTCTCAATCTGCCTATCTAACTCTCTATCAACTTCACTCTGATCACTCATTCTCTCTCTCTCTCTTTCTATTATATAAATATGAATGAACTCCCATTCTCACCCAACTCTCCCCCTCTTGATTTATAGTTAGAAATACATGAAAATTAGTGACTCTGATCAGCTGTTCGACATGTAGATTGACTGATCAATTAGCGCATATCAATTGACCTTCATCTGAGCCATGCCAGCTCTGGCCAGTCCACAGCTCCCGAACGCATTGAAATAGCTGAAATGGCTGCCAATTTGAATAATGAAGATGAAACAAACGAGCTCTTAACGGGCCATTCTTTGCAATTAACAAACGACAGCTGCTTCACAAACTGCAGCCGTAAAAAGCTCAAACCAAAGAGAAGAAAAAAAAAAAAAAAAAAAAAAAAAAAAAAAAATAAATAACAACAACAAAAAAAAAAAAAAAAAAAAAGCACATTAAAAATTATTTAATTAAGTGATTTTAAAAAAAAAAATCAACTATTGCTTTTTCGATTTGGCTCTCGTTGATTGTCTAATTTCATTAATCAAAGGGTGGTCAGGGAAATGCTCGGGGTGCCACACACACACACACACACACACACCCATAGGGGAGCTATATGTACACACACACACACACACACACAAGCGCCTGACGTAAATTGATTGGCAACGAGCCAGGGGCAACAACAATTTGGGAGAGCAACAACCAAAAAGGGAGTGGGGGGGGGGGGCGATCATCAGAATCGTTAGATCGTTTTCTATGTCAATTAGAATAGTTGAATTTGACCTCCATGCGAGCGAGCGAGGGGGGGGGCGAAGCCTCTTTGTCTCATCTCGATTATGATTCGTTGCGTGGGCGTTGCACATAAATCACACTTAGGGGGCAACAGAACTCTTGTTGGCATTAAATGAAACGAGAAGCCGGCGTGTCCACACACACATACACATACAATAGATAAATCCATCTCCACTTGCTCCCCCCGTCCTCAACAGCAGCCCGCTCCTGTAGTAATTGAATAATAATCGTTTAATTAGCGTGCCAAAGTCTAATTGGGCCAAAAAGGAATAGAAACCGAGCAGAAGAAGAAGACAGTWGCGCCGCTACCTTGACAGCTTTTTGGGCAGCTGCTCTGGGGCACAACCACGCACTCGGCGCCATTTAAAGCGACTCTAGCTCGAAGTCGAGCTAGTTTAATGGAACATTTCCATACGAAATGAGACGTCAGAAGACAGCAAAGAGGCGAAATGCTAATGCCCAAAATACAAAATACAAAATACCAAATACAACAACAACAGCAACAAAAGTTAGCTACAAAACGAGAACTGCGCATCTGTTCTTTATAATTTATGGCCAGCTTTTGTTTTTTTTTTTTTATTTTTCCTTATTCTTTTTTATTTCTTTTTTTTTTTTGACATATAATTTTAAAACAATAAACATAACAAAAGCCGGGGCGTGTCAACTGGAATGAAAACTGAAATCTAAGCAGACAGAGCGTGAGAGAAAGACAGGGCGAGAGAGAGA